TTTAATTATTATCTTGGTGAGATCTCAACTAATGTTTCTGAAGACAACTTACCCAGCAGCAGTGACAGATGGATGAACTGTGCCATGGCCACTAAAACTAGAAAGAAAGTCTACAAATTGAGGAGTCTGTGTAATATTGCTTTGGCAATCAAAAACACTTGTTGTCTCCCACCAGTACACTGCATGGAACTTGCAGCAGCGAATGTAATATACAATTTGTTACAGTGTGTAAAACACTTTTCCTTCATGTACAACAGGATAAAACAACAGGATAAAACAACAGGATAAAACACAAAAATGACAGCACCAGGTGTGAATCTATTAAAAACATACCCGATTGAGGAGGACTCCTCACTCTCCACAATGTGTTAGGAGGGTAGTTACATCATTTTATAGAGCTGCTGACCCTCTCCACCTTTTGACCATAGAAACACACCCACACCAGGGTGCTCATTTATTTTAAAGGGATAAAGACTTTTAATGAGATGTCTAGAGGCACTGTGGATGGTATGCACTGTGACATGTGGGCTTGTGTGTACATGTATTAATAGGTTACCAGTGTGAGGACAATCAGTCTAACTCTAATTGAAACTTTAGTATCCCTGTCTATCAACTCCTCTTTAAGGTAAAAAAAAGAAAACACACATAATGATATTGTTATGATATTGGATGGTAAATATATTCCCACAGGTATGACAAAGCAAACTGACAGCACATCCTTAAACAATAAAGCTTCTCAACATGTGTGTCAAGTTCAGTTTCACTTCAAGTGTTTATGACCAGAGGAGTCCATTTAAAACAGCTGTCTCCATTAATACAACATTTTAGGGAATGTTTTGCTTTCTCACTTATTCCCAAATTAAACACGTAGTACTGTGTTTGATGTGTCCGTATTAGTTCTTATTAGTTTGACCATATTTGCAAAATATTACAGTATTGATTGAAACTTATGGTTCGCAAAACACATTCATGTATGTCTTTGTGTTGTTTTTGTGTAATGCTCCTTGGAAACACTGTTCTCCCACTGTGTTGCATGTTCACGACAGGGAAGGTCAACCCATATTTAAATTAAATAAAAGAGGTCTCTGTGTCCATCCAAGAACAATGAACAGTAACATCCTGTTTCCACAAAACACATGTAAATCCATGGTCAGAAGCCTGAAGACACAAAGTCTGTGTCTAGTCATATTAGATGCAAATATCTTTGGAAGATGCACGTATTGTAAGCATGTAAATGCATTGTGTTATGTAAGCAGCATACATGAGAAAATGCTTCTTTTGTTGTAGGTGCAATGTTGAACAGGAAAGCTGATGAATTATCGGTTCGTTCAGCCTTTACCCAGAGGTGGGAAGTAGGCATTACTCAGTAGCAAATGTAACTTTGAATTATTGATACATACATGAGACTCTATTTACTCAACTGGCCTTTGGGAAATACTATACTTTAGGAACAAGATGTATATTTTATGCATAAAAAGACAGAGACCTAAACTTCTGTCAGGCTGAGGAGGTGAACAATAGTCTAGTGAACATGACTGATGCAAAGCTGGAGGTTTCTGGAGGCCGAGCCGATCACATGGACACACACGCAGGGTCAACAACGGGAAAAAGCCAAACATACGTTGCTGCCTAAAACCTCACTTCCTGCTTTTGTCTTTCCGTCTTTTTTGTTGTTCAACACTGAAATACTGTGTCTGAAGGATATGTACCGTATATTTTATCATGTTATATTATTGCCTTAAACCTTCTGTGAGCTAGAGTGGATTAGCATCTAATTGTCTGTTCTGTCACTTGATTCACTGTCCAACTGTGGAACTGAAATGTCACAAAGTAATTTTCACTGCTATATATTCTGTCTCTCATTCCTTGCCGTACAGTACGCTTATTTTAAAGTCTTTTTGTTGTATTTCTTGGTTGTGTGCAAAAGTACTTTGCCTTTAAGGAAAGTAATTTATTATAAATATGAACATGAATATAAAGATGTAAAACCTAAAAACTGCTAAATGTGTCATGGACAAGATATCAGTTGTTTTCTGCTCACATGGGTGAATTGATTTTATTTGCCCCCCTTGTGGCTAGTGTCTATTATTACAATGAAGAAAAAGAAAACAGACAAGAAAATGTTAAAAACATAAATTATTCCTTTACTGTTGCAACATAACAAAAAACAGTTTTCTAACTTCAGATTCATTCTTCCCACAGGCTGGTTCAGAAAACAGGGATCGTTCTTTTCTGTGCATGTTGCAGGTGGTGTATTCCCTCTCTTCACATTCTGGTGTTAAAATCTTCAATAGTCAGCTCAGTCACGTGGCTGACTGTTTGTATGTGCTTCATGCAGGTGGTGTTAGGGTCATGGCGGCAGCATGAACGGTGAATGCTGCGATGCTGATTTGACGCTTCACTTCCTCCCAGGCATTCTTTGGGTCAGCTGAGTTCTGGATGTCAAACAATGCATCATAGATACCGGGGAAAGACTCTCCTGCATATTTATTATGGCTGCTGGGAGCAAATATTACATGCCTGAAACAGAGAAGAGTGAGTGTTACATTAATGAGTGTTACTGGAGGTATTACAGATCTTTCTATGGTATCTTTACAACAAGGTCAAATGGGTTGAGAGTAAATGTAAAAAAACTGAAATCCAGTCAGTACTGGAGTATCTTGGACTTGTTTATGTTTATTTCTATTATTGTAGACTCGCTGGACTTGTCTCGGTCATTGGTCTCACCAAATATTCTAGTTAGTGAGACCTGCAATAGTCCTGCAATATATGTTTATTGTTTATTTCTTCTGATTTAACTTCCTCCTTCAAAAGAAAACCACTGATGAAGCTTGTACAGAAAACGTTTATTGGTTTAATTTAAAATCTAGAATGGGTGTTGAAAATCTATTTCACTTGCAATCGCATGCCTGCCTGCCAAAACTGATCTCATTGGCAATGACAAAAGCATTATTTTGTTTTGTCTCAGTCTTGATTCGGTCTCGACTAGTCCTGGTCCTGTACTCGACGAGGGTGGTCTGGACTACAGCACAGATGATTCCCATCTGATTTTTATTATTTTCAATTAGACATGGAAACATTCTACACAACACACTTCCATACTTCAGACCACATCTAAGTGTTCCATTTGGTTTAAGGCATCTCTTTACAGATAGTCCCCATTCAACAGTGAATATTGACCACTAAATATGGCACTTGTGCTCTCATTTTTTGATTTGGTTTCAGTTAAGTTTCCTGTTTTGGGTTTTGAACTACTTCAACAATGATTCTTTTTTTGTTATTTCTACTTTTAAGGCCATAAAATGAAAAATGACCCAGAATTGGGCAAAGATTAAAACTACTACCACCTAATATTTGCCTTCTCAACCAGACATTTACCACGTCATAGCAGGAAAAGCCAACAGAGTTGTGTGAACAGTGGAACAGGTGACTGTTCCTGTTAAAGTCTCACCATTAAAGTCGTAACAGTGTGACCAGTGAGCGCAGCATGCACAATACCAAGGATTATTTACACCTGCTTTTCCCTGCGTTATCATGGGGTTCCTGTGCATTCACACATTATTCTCTACCATGTTTTTTATTGACATGCCCAATTTATAATTTACTGTATCATACAGGTCTAGTTTTCTGTACTGACCTATGGGCACAGCTCGTTTATCATTATGATCCGTAGGGTATGAAGTTAAAGAAGCACACGGATTGCTCCAAGCAAACATTAAATGGTCTTGCTTTACGCTTCCAAGATGGCGACATAAAGATTGCTGGTAATCAGTTACACTGGCTTCCAGATTACACATCAAGCTTTTTATGTTTTGTATACAA